AATGAGTTTTACATTTATTGTAGGTTTTTGTTGAAGTGATTCGCCTATCTTACTATGTATGTAGCATTTGGTGTTGTAGTCAAGATACAGACGATGACAATGACCATTTATTCTCGTACACGTGCACATCAACACGCGCGTCTATTATTACGTAATAAAACAGTATACAATAGGCGCTGTCACACAGAAAAATCCCATAAAAAGTCCCTTGAAAAATCCTTTTAAGGGAGAATTTTCTTGCTTCTTCAGAGGAATTTTAATGGGATAATCGGTGACGGACAGCAATTAAGAGGATAACTAAAATCCGGATTTTTGGGCTATGTGTGACACCTCCTTATATATAACGTGCCATACCCTCGATCTTTCCCTCGATTAGATCCTTCTTCTTATTATTTCATTCTCTCTCTTTCTGTGCGCTATTTGTGCGTTTGTGTAAATCCTCTCTTCACTTAGGTCTCTCTCTCCCTCTCTTTCGTTTTTTATCATCTCCCTCTCTTTCTCTTTCTATCACAGGCTCTCTCTTTCCTCTTTCGACCCGCCTACTTTCTCTAACTTCACCATTATCATCTCTCTCTCTCTCTCACACTTTCTCTCTCACTCACTCTCTCTCTCTCTCTCTCTCTCTCTCTCTCTCTTTTCTCTCTCTCTCTCTGTCAAACTTGTCATTTTCACTTCACGCGCATCTCTTGTTTCTTTCTAGCTCAGTCTCTATCCTTTTTTTGCATTGAACTGTGGGATTTCCGCTTCATAGTCTCCCACAATCTCCTATTTTGTCTTTTGAATAGCAATCGTCCTTAGTCGTAAACAATCACTTCTACACCGTTCTTCTATTTTGTCTTTTTAATAGAAATCGTCCTTAGTCGTAAACAATCACTTCTACAACGTTCATCTATTTTGTCTTTTGAATAGCAATCGTCCTTAGTCGTAAACAATGACTTCTACAACGTTCTTCTATTTTGTCTTTTGAATAGCAATCGTCCTTAGTCGTAAACAATGACTTCTACAACGTTCATCTATTTTGTCTTTTGAATAGCAATCGTCCTTAGTCGTAAACAATGACTTCTACAACGTTCTTCTATTTTGTCTTTTGAATAGCAATCGTCCTTAGTCGTAAACAATCACTTCTACAACGTTCTTTTATTTTGTCTTTTTAATAGCAATCGTCCTTAGTCGTAAACAATGACTTCTACAACGTTCTTCTATTTTGTCTTTTGAATAGCAATCGTCCTTAGTCGTAAACAATGACTTCTACAACGTTCTTCTATTTTGTCTTGTTAATAGCAATCGTCCTTAGTCGTAAACAATGACTTCTACAACGTTCTTCTATTTTGTCTTTTTAATAGCAATCGTCCTTAGTCGTAAACAATGACTTCTACAACGTTCTTCTATTTTGTCTTTTTAATAGCAATCGTCCTTAGTCGTAAACAATCACTTCTACAACGTTCTTCTATTTTGTCTTTTGAATAGCAATCGTCCTTAGTCGTAAACAATCACTTCTACAACGTTCTCCTATTTTGTCTTTTGAATAGCAATCGTCCTTAGTCGTAAACAATCACTTCTACAACGTTCTTCTATTTTTTCCAAAAGCTGAATTTATTGAATTTTAGAAAACATAAAGAGTGCATGGCCAGAATAATCCGTTGGTGCATGTTAATTAAAATGTTAATACTCTTCTGCAATTATCTACTTTCTTTATATTCTGTTTTTATATCATTAGTGTTGTTATCATTAATATTATTATTATTGATTATAATCACCATTTTTATATTTATTATCATTATTATAATTATTATTTTTATTATTATTATTAATATTATTATCATCATTATTATTATTATTATAATCCTCATTATAATTATTATTAATATTATTATTATTATTATTATTATTATCATTATTATTATTATTAAAATCCTCAATTTAATTATCCTCATCATCTAATTCTACTATTATTACCAATATCATTTTTCATTATCATTATTTTTATTGTTATTATCATTATCATCATAATTATTGTTATCAAGGAGGAGTAACTTTTAATTACGTTTACACTCTTCCTGTAAAAATTAATTATATTATTTCCTCAAATAAATGGTTATTTTCTTGATGAACGGAATGTGCATGAAAGTATATTTGTTTTGACATAAAATTAGTATCTTGCATATAATATCCTGTTGTCGATATTTTTTCTTATAAAATCAAATTGTCATGATAACAATAATTATAAATCGTCTATAATCATACAGGCTATATACATGCTTAAAGCTTATATAAAACATTTTTACTGAATCTTTCCAATCCTAAAACGCATAAATGAGTGTAAATTTATTATTTTCATAATTAATTCATATTCTAGTTTAATTCTTATTTAGCGATATTGCATCTTATATTACAAGCTTTCTACTTGATAAAGCGCGTTATTTGATCAGATTGTACAAATTATCATTGTTAAAACATAAACACAAATGCAAAATAATCGGCAATCACGTCAAACGATAATAATTAATTGCATCATCTTTAGATATTGTAACACACTATTCCACACAATCGTCAAGACGTATATAAACAGCAGTTGCATAAATATTAAAAGAAGATAAACAAAATAAATTTTTCACATATGGTATTAACCTGTCGATTCCCTCTCTCTATATGTCTCTGCCTCCCTCTATCTAATATTAGTACATGTTCATGACTATTTTGGACGGAAAAGCATTCATCTTGTGTACGAATTATAGTTTATAAATCGTCGTATACCTCAGTCTCATCATCAAACCTATTCAAAACCTGACCAACCGATTTTGGGTCGTAACCTCTGTTTCTTACATCCTTCTGAAATTACCATAACATTCTGTCATGAGTTGGAAAGTGTATATGATTATTTTGTTAGTTTCTGTGATAATTTTGTTCGATATTTGTTGTTTGCCTTATTCTGAGAATTTGCAATCACATTAACATACTCAAGTTAAATGTGAATACAAATGTAATCTATAGGCCTACATTGCATTTTCCAGATGCTTAACTTAGAAGTTACAGCTAAAATTGATATATGAATTATTGAAAATTGTTGCAACAACGGAAATGTACGTAACCAGCTTAATACACAACCCAAATGAAAGTATTTTTTTTATAATTATAATAATCTAGAGCAATTTAATTTCCCTTCGATTCTGACAAATTCTATGAGAATTCTAAAGACAAAATTATCAAGAACATAAAGGTGCATGATATTAGTCAGAAACGTACAGTGCAGTCATATTTACAAAATGATTAGCAAAAGAAAACAGGTCTTGAATTTTCAAAGATATTTATACGATTTGTCATGGACTGTGTTCAAAGAATGCACATCGTCTTATTTCAAAGTCTAAATACAATGTGTGCAAGTATCAAATTGTTGGGGGAGGGGTGAAATGTTGCCGACGACACCTTAGAAATGATAAGACAATCCCCTATTCTCCAACACACGCTTACAGTATATGCAACGAATCGTACTTTATAATAATAATAATAACGTTTTATTTACCCAAGGTAGCCACTTCAATTATGAACTGCTCTTCCAGCAGGCCCTGCAGAACATAATATGTTATTACTACCCTTCTCCAATCTAATAATGCTGAGCGTCTAGCTGAGTGTTCCCGAATGGAATCATCTAGATGAGGAAACAAGAAACTCACCCGATGTGAAAACTTTTAAAATCAAATTGGACTCATTAGACATTAAAAACCTCGTAGCTGAAGCACACTTCAATATTTAGGCGTGTTTGGCATTTGACCCAAACCCTACGTACGCGACAACCAGATGCTGGTGATTGTACGTCACGGACAGATGCAGAAGGTCCCATTGCTATGTGTCTTTCGTATGACTCGGCCGGGGTTCGAACCCACGACCTCCTGTTCATGAGGCGGCGGGCGCTCTTACCACTGAGCCACCATGCCACTTTATTATCTTCTTGATTTATTGTGATACTTGCTTAAATCACATTAAGGCATTGACCAAGATTTCATCATACATTCAAATACACACAATAAAACCTGTTATCAGAAACAATTCCTCTCAAACATATTTATAAATTGAAGAAAAAAGGGGGGCACAGTGATTCAGTTTATTTTCCCCACCAAGCCACAGATGACGCCAAATATGCCCAGTAGTAGTGGTAGTGGTAGTAGTAGTAGTAGTAGTAGTAGTAGTAGTAGTGATAGGAATATAGTAGTAGTAATAATAATAATAGTGATAATAATAATAATAATATTAATAATATCATAAGAATAATAATTATAGTAATAATATTAAATCCCTACACTAAAATATCCTTTCTTGTGATTCTAAAAATCCCCCCTAGATATCAGTGGCGGATTTAGGAGGGAAACTAACCCTTGCCCCACCCCCTCATTAAAAACGCAATCTCACATAACACAAACAATATACCTCAGTTTGGTTATCACACCCCTTAATATTTTATGATTCGAAAGGCACTGCGCATGTGAAAACATTTTTTTTTCTTTTTTATCTCTTTATTTTCTTGTCTAAGTTGTGATATTGCATCCAGTCTTACCCCCCCCCCCAATCCCTTGGCAGAGATTTACGGGAACATACACTCACTACGTCAAAGGCAACGTCTCCAGTCGAAGGTGTGCTGTTAGAAGGACGATGTTTACATAATTAATGATCATTTAATCGACCTCGTAAGGCCTTACGTTTTAAGTATTGATGAATCTATCTCCATTGTCAAGATCTGTGGGCGCTCTAATTGTCTGTTACAAAATAAAGAGCGTTGAATTTTTTTGTTTTTCTATGGATGGATCGATATCAGAAACTTGATTTGTCTACATGATATTTTGCTGTGGTAAGAACCCCCACCCCCTGCAGAATAAAAATACACTCCAGTAAAGGCCTACCCCTCCAAATTTACCAGAAAATGATTTTGGTTTCACCCCCCCCCCCCCCCCTCGCCTATCCGATACCTCCATTCGAACCGTTCCCTCTACGCCTCAGCCTCTGTGGCTTTACCCCATGGTTGGGATGGACATCGATACCGCCATCGCGGACATGACAACGTAGAGTAGTTTGTTGGTTGACCAGCCGTCGATGACCAGCCCTGCCACCAGGGCGTTGCCGCCGTTGCGATTAAAGTTGTTGCAGCTATTACCGACACAGCACCATTCACAGGCACGGATGGAGGCGGCCTCGTTGCATCGGAAATCCATTGGGTCAGCGAGGTCCGATGGACAGGCGTCAGTCATGTTACATAGCCGTGAGATCGCTGTGATGTTTGTGTCCTTTCCACCATCAACTTTGTTCACCTGTAGTCATATAAACACAGAAACATATATTAAATTTTTTTTTTAAAACAGGTGAGGAGAGTTTATGAACAGATGAATATTCCTCTTGAGCTAACTGACCTATACACCTAAAATGGTTTATATGTGCAGGGTAGGATATGTTGATCGAGAGATAATACAAATCTAGATAATACAAAAAACAAGCTCATACATACAAAAAATTACAGAATAGAAACAATTTAGCATTAAATACCTCAAACTCCCTCTCAACTTCAATACCCCTTTTCTCCCCCTAAAAAATCTCCCCTCTCCATAAAACCCCCTCCCTACCCCCCTCCCCCCCCCCCCCCAAAAAAAACCTTATGTATATTTTGTTTGGTTCTTAATAACAAATTATTTAAATCTCATTAAACAATTCCGTTCAGAACAAACAAAAAAAGCAAAAATCTAGCACACGCACACACACACACACACACACACACACACGCGCGCGCGCGTGCGGACAAAAGCACGTGTATACTTACCCTGCAAGATCGGCATGTATCCACCCTTACGATACCGGTCATAGAGCTGACAGGTTCATCACTGTTACAGGTACTATCCATGTCTCCTGTACAAACCAGGCATTGCACATTCTGACAACAACAACATGAATAATAACAAGAATTAATTTGGAAGTTCACCCCGGTATTAAGTGAGGAATAAATGTTTTCAAAATTCTTTTTAAGGTAAGGACCAGTTTTGGAAATGCCCCCCCCCCCCCTCTCAAAAAATGAAATGGAAGCTCTTATTGCCAATTATGTGAAAGAAATGTTTTTACAAATACGTGATGATACAAAATTTGCCAAGAAACCGCCTACTAATATATATATTTGGTAAATTATTAAATCTATATGGACCGGATAGATATCGCGCACGTGTCGCGTAGTCAGGCCTACATCTTTCTGTGTACAGTGCTTGTAACTTTACCAATACTGGGCCAAATTTCTTATCATTTTGATGATTCCAGAACCTTTCAGTACACACCAATACTTATATGCTAGATGATCAACTTTCTCTGATCGATTCCACAACGTTTCTTTCACAATGCAATCGCATGACCAGAACGGGTCTTTATCTTCAATATGATTGAGCTCAAAATTTCATTGATCTTATTTTCTCATTATTCCGTTTTTTTCTTCAAAAACCGGAATTCTCTTTTGTTGATCGTTAGCCCCGCAAAATCGATATCTGTATTACAGAGAACTAAATTTGAACGTATCCTCCAGAATCATAATTTCAAGATATGTGCATGAATTTTCCCTATGAAATTACCGATGAACGTCTATTCAATCGAATGGCACTACAAACAAGTTGATGATATTTTACGCTGGAGTGAGCACTGGATTTTTTTCGAAAACCTCGCGGAAAATGATTTGCACAAAAAATGATGCTTTCTAGCCTTAGAACAAAGTGCAAATCAAGCAATTTTCGTGTGTGTCCTGTTAACTATCAATAATTTATCAAATTATTTGATCTTAAACCATATAGCTATGTATTACCCCAGTGGAATATACAGAAATTGATAAAGGAGGAGTGGCGGAATAAAATTTCTGAGTCGTAGCGTGGTTGGTTGTAGGTGTTAAATGATGGTGTAAGTCGTAGCGTGGTTGGTTGTAGGTGTTACACGATGGTGTAAGTCGTAGCGTGGTTGGTTGTAGGTGTTACATGATGGTGAAAGTCGTAGCGTGGTTGGTTGTAGGTGTTACATGATGGTGAAAGTCGTAGCGTGGTTGGTTGTTGGTGTTACACGATGGTGTAAGTCGTAGCGTGGTTGGTTGTAGGTGTAACAATTAGATTATTGTCAGCATAGAGTCAGGAGGGCGTTAACTAATATCGTTTAACGTAGAGTTAACATTCTTTTTGTTTTCGCTCTCAACAGCTTATAATCATTTAATAACAATTTTCATCTATATGTTTCTGCAGCTTACCCCTCCACCACTGGTAATCCCTGCAGCTTCAGTTACCATGCTGGTTGTCACTGGAATCAAACAATGGAAGAGTAAGAGACAGACAAAGAGGGGGATTCAAGAAGAAAAAAAGTATGTACAATGTATATTTTATTTGATGTTTAAAAGAAGTTGGGTTTTATGTTCCCATCTTCCGAATCCCATTTTTCAAAATTTCCCAACAACTTTTGCACTTTGTGGGATGGAATCAATCAAGAAATATTTTTTTCTTCTTCTAAGCACTCTTAATCCAAAACATTTCGTAGTGTACAATTCGTAATGAATGAAAATTTCCTCCCCAATCTCAATTTGATAATAAATTTATTCCATGTTTTAAGTTGACAAGCACAATGGTTTAGAATTTCAACCATCTATTTTCGTATCGTTTCCCATTTGCACATTAAGTCATTTAAATTTGTGTTTGTTTTCTGTATAAACCGATTAATGATTCAATTAAATAAACATAATCACATGCATTGTTATTGGGGTTTTTTCTCAAAAGAAATCATATTATCTGATTCATGAATGAACAAAGTGGTTATAAGTGCCGTACTTATAGCATCGAATATAACATGCAGAGGCATATCCAAAAAGCATGACCCATGTGACAACCACCCCCAACCGCCGAAAAAATTTTTTTTAGTTACCCTGGGGGTGTTTCATAAAGCTGTTCGTAAAGTAACGCATGACTTTACGAACGACTCGTATATGAAAAGCCAAATGGGATGCTCAATCATTATTAAATACATCAACTAAAGTAAAACTGAGCAGATGTAGATTAACATTCTCATGATAGCTAACATTTTTAATGCAAAGTATATTTTTTGCCATAATTTAATTGAGGTTATTGAAAATATCAGAAAAACCTTTGGGCATCCTATCTGGCACTTCATATACAAGTCGTTCGCTTTATGAAACACCCCCAGGTATGTTTGGAGGACCTGTACAAGATATACATTTTTTCTTCAGAGTTATTACCTTACAAATTGCAAAAAAAAACTTACTATTTCCAGTCGAGCCAGAACTTGAATTGCCAGAAGTGGAAATGCCAGAAGTGGAAACGCCATCTGTCGTCATTTCTGGAAATATATCACGTAATCATAATGTGGGTTTTAAAGAGATGTTTTTTTTTAAATTTCTCATACGGATGCAAAAAGAATTTTTGAGCTTTCTCATTTTGTTTTGTATCAGTTTGGAAAAAAATTATAGAAGAAATTTCCCCCCAAAATGAAATACTCTGCAATTGCACGAAAACTACCCACAACGTTTGAAACAAACGTCCATGGTGAATGCTTGTGTTTATTTGATTTTTAGGAAGTAATTAAAAGAAAGTAAAATCCTCAGCAGCTGCAGACTTAAAGTCGTCATCGTTATTGTCATTATCATCAACATCATCATCATATTCACCACAATCAAAGTCGTCATCATCATTACTATCACCATCAACATCATCGACATCATCGACATCATCAAGGTCGCTTTCAGTAACACTTCAACCATCACCTTCGTCATCTCCATCATCATTATATTTATCATCGTAATCATTTTTTGTCATCTTCATCATCTTTACTATCATCATCATGATCATCCCTACCATTATCATTATCATTATCATCATCCTCATCATCATCATCATCATCATCGCCATCATCATCATCATCATCACCATCATCATCATCATCATCATCCTCACAACCAACGTCTTCAACGACTGTGCAGTTCCTCATTCATCAATACTAGACGCATGCGAGGCGTCAGTTTGCTGACGTAGGAATGCGTTATTACATGCGTCAATTAGTGCGTACGTACGCTGGTGATTCAAGGCATTTTTTACCCTCGCTTTTCGTAAGATGTCAACGGTGCGTCAAAGACCAAGCCAGTGTCTGACGCAGTTCTCCGCAGTGAATGGCGCTTTACATACAACGGGATAAAATAAGCCTACCTGTGTCCACCAATACGTGAAAAATATAATATTATAATGTAAACATAAATACATTGTTATTTGCAAACGTATAAGTTGTTGCTATTCTTTATTCTCAGTTTTTGTCATCTCACAACAAATATTGATCGACTTAATAATGTCAATGATGGTTGGTAATAATAAATTCAAATTCAATTTCGAATTCAATTCAAATGTCATACCTGTTGCGATAGTTGGAGCTGGCGTGGGGGTGGTTGCTTCTCCGTCGGCTTTGACAAGGAATGCTCCTCCTGGACATTTCATGAAGAAATTAATGTCATAATTACGTATTTCCAATGCGTCATGAAGAGTTCATATTGAATGGACTATGCAAGAATCGTTTCAGGAAATTTACCCTTAAGACAATCACCCCCGGAAAATTAACCCCAAGGACAATACCCCCCCCCCAAACAAACAAAAACTTCCCCCCCCCCCCCACCTCCGAGGACAATAACATCCCGGAATATTACCCCCTAAGATAATTCCCCCTTTAAAAATTGCCAAAGGACAAGATATCATTTACAACTCCATCCTCCCCCCCCCACACACACACACACGGGGGGGGGGGGGTTCGGCCTAGAGGGTATTTTCCGGAGGGTAATTTTCCTCCGGGGGTAATTGTCCTAGGGGGTAATTTACTCGGTGCAACTGTCCATGGGGGTAATTTCCTGAGGGTTATTGTCCTCGGAGGCTAGTTGTCATGGGGGGGGGGGGTTATTATCCAGGATCAATTGAAAAACTAATTAAGCGAACATAAGCCAATGTGTAATGCGAGGAGTAAGAGGACAGAAAAGGTTTTATTTGAAATAGTTTCACGAAAGAAAGGTTGCAATCATTCTCGATTTGAATAATAATCAAATATACATTGTCTTGACTGAGTTCTGTTAGCAACTATCTACAAGAGGTGACTCCAATAGTACCATTTGAGTCACCGAAGCCCATTCTTGTAACCAGCACCTCGAAAGGAAGGCAGGGTATATTTGTTTTATATCAAATGATAAACATAAAACTTGAAATATATATTTCTCATAAATATATTTTTTGACAAATTGCCCAGCCGTAAATTGTTCTTTTAGTTTAGGTACTATTTACGGCTTGGGTAAATAGTTGGTTTATTTTTGATCATGTGACACGCTTTTAACCAATAAAAAAAAAATATTTTTGATGCAGGATATAATAAGTAAAACTGTTATTTTATTTGATATTTGAATGTCTGTTTCCATTACTTAGTATTATTATACAAGAGTTTGGGAACAAATAAGACGTAGACTCATTGTTATTGTAATTATTGTTAGAATTGAAATTATCATTGTTATTATTAATATTATTATTATTAATATTATTATTACCATTATTATTATTGATATCTTCATCATCATTACATCATTATTATTATTTCTAATTGTATTATAGTGTCTTCCTTTTGTACTGAACCATCGTCTGCAAATTAAAAAACCTTATTTCCTATTTTCTTTTGCTTCAGGGATGAAGGGGGTGTGATTTCTAACTGTCGCAGGTTAATGTGATTGAACCCCCCCCCCCCCCGCCCAAAATCCTTCTCTCTCTCTCTCTCTCTCTCTCTCTCTCTTTCTTTCTCTCTCTCTCTCTCTCTTCCCCATCTCACGACGGTTCTCCTCCAGTGTTTTATTATGTACTCACCCAACACACAGAAAAGTGTTACAGCCAGGTAGAACATGTTGGCCCCCATTCTGATTTATTGCTGACCTAGGATTGAAAGAAACAAAAATTGAGACAGTTTTAGCAGTTGTAGTATAGGGCGATTAGTTTTTTTTTTAGCCGAAGAATTACTGGAAGAAAAAGCCGAGGCCATCAGCATTTGATTTTTTATGCCTTTTTAATATTTTACGCTCTTACTTTAAATGTGAAAAACTCGTTTGACAAAAACATGTTGCTAGGATAGCGAATTATTATCATCACCATTATTTGTATCATTATTATCATAATTAGTATCATTATTACCATTCTGATGGCATATAGTATAGAAATTGCAATTTATGCCTCGTTATTTCCACGTCTACCTTGTCGGCACTAATTAACACGGCGCGTCATCCCATTGCAGACTAAACTGAAGTTAAGATAATTGCCTTGTCGTAATTCTATCATTAGGTGAGATTAAAACTACGAACCTTTCCTTGGGGATAAATTAAAAGTGAACACTTGACATTTACTTTATGGTATTGTCATAGTAACTGATGATACACTACCATTGTTACACAGCGTTGATATTTTGACCGAAAGTCAATTCCATCGTCCATGAAATTTGCTGTAAAAGAGGGAAAGGGCTCCTTTTTTGGGGGGGGGGGGGATCACTGAATCATTTTCGCAGAGAGGGGGGGGGGGTACTTCACTATCTCGGAGGTCGGATGTAGGAACGCTCCCAATCATGAAATACTTGTCAGAAGCCGTTAGAAAAGGTCTAATATGGTCCGTTGGTCCTGTAGAGCCTACGAAGGTTAAATTAATCCACCACAAAATAATGTCCAATTAATAAACAATAACAGATAATCGCCCCCGGAAAAGATAAAATCACCACAAATGTAACAACATTGCAACCATAAATGCACACAAAAAATCGCCTACAAATCTTTTTAACAAAAAAAATTAAAACATATCAACCAAAAAAGTAAAATCTCAATGCTTGCAAAGAACATGAAATGTCAAACCTTCCCAAACACAGAAAAATAGCAAATTAGAAGAAATTTGTAGAATTTCGTAAGAGAATGGGCTTATGTTGTGTGCTATTCTAAATGTAATTCAAATTTTAGGTAATATTTCAAAAGGATTGGATTATGATTTAAAGATTGGGCTCTAAAACGCCAAGGATTTCGAGAAATTAAAGTATCAAATTTATCGGTGCCCAGATAAATTTCGAATAGCGCCTATACGGCAATACAATGGTAGCTGCGACCATGAAAATCTCGGAATATGCACTTCTTGGGGTGTTTCATGAAACAATTAGTCGGTGGTTTTCACCGACTTATATCATTTTCATGGGCCATTTTATTGTCACCGACTATATTACAGGCCTCTGATTAGTCAAATTTAGTCAGTGCTGGCAGTTGTTGGCAGGCAAATGTTGATGAAAAGCCCCCAAGATAATTTCCAAATCGGTCGATTTTAGTCAAGAAACATTGTTTTGAAGCTAAAGTAATATCATTCTTGAGAGGGAGCTATACAAGATAAAGAGTTTATTATTCACAATTTAGACTCGACTTCAACCACGACAATGGTCTTTGAATATTGTATTAAAGATCGCATATGCTTCCAATAAGTTTAATTCGTGACCCCAAACCAAAACTTTGTATCACCTTTAAGAATATGATCACATGCCATGCGTTCATAAATAGGATTGGTAATTCTTCATATTCTTTACCTTCTCCTCTACCTACTTTACTTCACTAATTTTCGTGAAGCAACTTTATTCAAATAAAAGGATGCGCCTATTTTTACATTTGCATTGATTCATATTCTGATCATTCTATTTCATAAAAATCAAAGATAATTTGTGACTTCTCACCCTAAAACATATCATCGTTTTCATATTTCGTAACAGTTGTAGGCCTATCCCATCAGTCTTTCAGACATTTAATTTGTCTCGAATATTTTGTGCAAGTTGAAATAAATTTTCTTCGACTCCATGTATGAGCCTTCCTTGTCATTCTTGTGACAAAAATGATATTTGTCAGTTTGTAAGGTACTATGTCCCAATTGCAGGCGAACAAAATGAAAAGATTCAATTATGGCGGCATTTGAAAGATAATGCTAATTTAGAACTTCACTCAAAACAAAAGGGCTTGAAAATGTCTTTTAGGGTGAAAAGACCGACCGCTAATAATTGTTGTATCGAATTTAGCGATCGCGGTCGTTTAATTAAATATTCTGATTTTCAGACCCTTGTACCGAATGGTCGTACGTTTTGTGCTACGCTAAGATTCAATCAGTTTAATGTTATGTTTTTCATGTAAACAAATGCTCATGTACCCTTCACAGCTCATTGTATGTATGTTATTACCAAAGAAAAAAATGAAGTCAGACAGTCACTCAATATTGTCTGACAATGAAGTCTAAAAAGTAAACGTGACATATTCATAATTCCTGCAAAGTTCTACAGAATTTGATGTTGGCTGCAACGGTGATACACTACCTTTAAAGGTAATACAAAGTTTTGGGAAATTTGAAAATTGGGTGGAAAGTGATTCTTTACAATTTTGATATATTTGGATGCCCCTGTAGATGTATTATAAGCACAAGAAAAATTAGCCCCTAAAACACTTCTCCTTCCGAGAAAAATTGAATATAAAAATTCATGACCCCATCCCAAAACTTTGTATTACCTTTAAGTAAGTTTATCATCAGAAATTGCGTCGTTTTCTTTTATCAATGACTCTTTTGCACATACAAAGGTATATAAACTTCTAAAATAAAGTTAAACAACCCACGTTTGATCGTTGATATTTCTCTTGTACTATATTGTCATACCAGACGTTGGTATCATTGAAAGGCCTGTTTCTTTCCCTTTAAAAATGATGACCCATTTGTAACGATTATGTAATCATGGACTATGGAGTACAATTTGCACCTGAATATGAGGCAAAGTCAAGAAGAAATGTTGCAAAATGCGTCATTATATTTTCCAAAACACAATTCATCCTCCAAACAAATTACAAATTCACTATTGACGATAACAATGCATCTTGCAACATTTTGACTTTTGACTTGGCCCCATGTTTAGGGGTTCTGCACATGATTACATAATCATTCCAAATAGGACATTATTGTAAAGGAGAAGAAATCGGCTTTCCAATGAAGACCAACGTCAAGCTAAATAATTTACTAACAAGACTATATCAAAGCTAGAACTTGAATTGCGTAACTTGTTATGAGGAATTAATCTTCCTTGACAAAGCTTACAGGCGAAAATTCGTACATCATCTTTCTCTCAAAGTTATTTTCATTATTTATTGCCTTTTTCTTAAATTTCTATCACCTGACCCAGGATTATTTGTATTCATTATTTTAGATAATCACATTCTTGAAGTTTTGAATAATCAAAATATTTGTTTAGTAATGTAACTTATTGACTCCTTCACCGTCCTTATGAAAATAAATGATAACATTCTTGACAAAATAGCAGATGAGCTAAACACTTACTTAGTCTTGGAATGGTGAAAAATGAATATCCAAAGATTAAATCAATTTCGTGAAGATCCGCCACAATATTATTAGAGTCCTGAAAAAGTGTACAGGGGTGTCTACAAATGATAACGGATGAATGAAATGGCTCGGCGTTTCCGCGCTCTCTTTGCGAGTGATAAAAACTTTGGGGGTGGCGTCGTGACAGGAATGCGCATGCGTAGCATTGTTTCCTATGTTGCCAAGCAACTCAGCCAAGGAATATATTGCTGTAGCCAAAGTGCTGACAGAGTTTAGATTGGGCTTTGTCATAATATTAATCATTATATGCTTTTTTGTATTTATGTTGTTAGCAACGGACTAAGAAGATTATCACGGGGTTCACCCAGGAGTATTATCATGATGACATATTGCTATATTGTGCATCTCGCGTTCGATCGTTCCTTTTCATCGTCCCATTTAATTAATAAGTTGATTCTGTCACCATGACTACCATAGCCAAATACCATTCCATATTTTATTCCAACCTCAATTGAAAAGTGCTCTGCCATATTACTAGTCTCTCGGTTTTCCCGCTTATCTAATAAACTAATAACTGACAAAATATCTTTGAATCCATTCTGTATTGCACTTACAGGGAAATTCCCTATCTCTCTCCACAGGTAATATTAATATGTGTGTCTCATTTGTATCTCAAATTTACAACTTCCTGTTCTGTTTCATCCTCTCTGTCTTTTCTATTTAATTCTCTCTCTCTCTCTCTCTCTCTCTACCTCTCTACCTCTCTCTCTCTCTCTCTTTCTATCTCTTTTTTCTTCATATCTCTCGTTCTACCTCTCTCACTTTCTCTTTTCCTTTCTCTTTCCCTCTCTATCTCTCTCTCTCTTTCTATCTCTCTCTTTCTATCTCTCTTTTTTCATATCTCTCGTTCTACCTCTCTCACTCTCTCTTTTCCTTTCTCTTTCTCTCTCTCTCTCTCTCTCTCTCTGTCTCTCTTTCTCTCTCCCTTTCTCTCTTTTCCTTCTATTCTATATCTGTTTCTTTAAAAAAACAAAAACACTTGCGATATATTGACCATTTGTTTTCATCGTTTACATAATGTCTCCTATAAAAATGTGCACGGCTGACTAATTAAAATGTTTTAAGATCATCATAGCAAAATATGGGCGTTTTATCATTATAGTCGAACTCAATGCATATAGCCCGGTGCCGAAAAAAAACTCCTTTTAAATGTTTCAGTTTATGTTTCACTTTTTGTTTTAAATCTCGTGACAAAATGAACTATATGAAAGTGCGTGATTATTCTTTTCATTTTATCAACACAACCTAAGTGAAGTGTTTATGCAATTATTAAGACGGACAATATCGACCCTAAATGCAATACATTATATCATTAATACAATCATAAAGAGCGCCACTGTTAACAATACACGTCACTATAACCTAACATGGACACGCAATGCACGATAATTATTAATAGTCACCCATGTTTTATTGAACAACACTTATTCTCGTCTTTACATTTCTGATAAATGCAGTTCTGTATAGAGTATATCTGCGAGTTAGAAGCATAATGTTGATCCAATTATTCCGATAGTAAAACTATAGTACTCTTTGCATCGTTCACATTTAGTGAATTACACTGCCTTCAAAGGAAATTTGAAATAATTATATATACACAAATTAGATAAAGCATTAAAATAGTCAATATAATCTTATTAAATTTTCTACTAATAATATTTACAGAGTAGTTTATCATCTCATCAAAAATTCTTTGATTGTTATAATGGAACAAACTGCGACAAGATTAAATCTACAATTCATCGAGTATCGGATTCATGACAATTTCTACATCACATCACTATATACATCAACAAATCGCCAGCAATTGTGTCGATAACTCTAACTATAGTTCATCAATTAACCAAAAAAATAATAGAGCATTACTATTCTATTAATACACCTTACATCATCAATATTACTGGAAGTACTATGAGTTATTGACATTAATGAGTTAGCATTCTTTAAATGAAATATTTCAAATCGTTGGAAAATAGTTGAAAATCTTGGCTTTGCAATTGAACGTGTTAATGAAATGTACAAGTAATCAGATACATTTCACATCAAAATATGTACGAAGGATCAAAAGAAAAAAAAAATACAAAACAGTATATCACATGAGCATAATGACTTCCTGGCTTTAAACTAGATTCCCTGGAACAGACGCCGCAATTTTGAACAGTACACATCGTCAGTGCCCATTTGTATTGCATCATAATTTGCTGACACCAGATTTGATTGAATTGCCAATAAATGTGTCTGTGTGTGCAAAGGTCTCTCAAGTAGCGAACCCATAATCCCATCAAGAAATACTCCAACTTGTCTTCATATCTCAAAGATGAGGGAGATTTGATATTACAATGAGAATTCCTTTAGCAGTAGACTATGGCACAGTACATTACACAAGACATGTCATTAGTAAAATTCTACTCACGGAGACTGAGAACACGTAAGCTTGTTATTGGGTTAACACCCGAATAGTGTCAAATTCCCCGTTGAAAACTCATTGTTATAAGCCTTTAAATTTAGTTTTGACAGGAGAATTGCTATTCAAGACATGAAGACCTTAATTTAACCAAAACATAGCACAAAGAACACCTCGAAATTTATTGGATTTCCTTGCCTCCGGTTTTCATATTTCATTGCTACTTACTCAATTGTTGTCAGATTTTATTGCATTATGTACAATTTCGTTTGATTATGTGAAAGTGCTTATATTCTTTCATTACAAACATACAGCTAAAGGTTACATCCCTGCTTCCCTGTCTCCCTCTCCCTCTCTCCCTCAGTAGTACATGTATGGCCCTATACAAATAACGTATAATCTTTACGACTAATACACTGAAAGGGTTTTATACAAAATTAATCGTTGTTGTCAGTAGACCATGATGAATTAATCACCTTCCAATCGACTACAATAGAAGTAATAATAGTATTACTATCCAGACGGATGTACAAGTATATAGAGACCGTACCAGCCGGTTCACTCTCCCACACAGAAGACTAATCAAAATTGATATCATTTACATTATAAATACATATACCAATTTGATTGTGTTGATATTATAGACTCTTTCTTCTGAGTATATGATGACAACTTCGTCTTTTCTTTATTTATCTTTTTTGTCCCCGTTAATAACCTAACCGTCTCTCCCACTTAGAAATAAACACCCTAAGGTTATTTCTTCGTTGTATTCACACATAATATTATAGTTTGGGGTATTTCTTAAATTCATTTTTGTTCATTATACGACACAAATTCAATGATCAAATTATATTGTCACCAATGAAAAAAAATCACTGGTGCATATTTTCTTTAAAGATGTAATAAGAATATTATGGATTTTCTTGTTAATATTACATTCAAGATTATTCTAAAAATTAAAAAGAATGGAGTTACACATGAGAAAGGCAAACCAAAGCCGCTCCATTACCAAGTTACAAAAGCAATTAGATATCACAGAATAACATGACATAATTAGCTTTTATCAGCAATGATATAGATAATCAATAAGTACAAGACAGATTGAGTAAATGATTATTCTTTTATCTCAAAATATGACATTGCAGACAAGTATACGGTAGAATTAAGTCTCCCATTGCACCTTGACTTCCAGGCAATTATACATTTATTTAGCGCTTACATCAATTATGAAGATTGGATTGCTTCTCAATTTGACAGGATACTTATTAATACAATGTCACTGATTAGGTGATGATAACTATACAGAAGCCTAATGGATCATCGGAGCTTCCCTTACACTAGATTCATCCATCCGAACAGCTAAAGGATGTAAAGATGGTCCCTTTGTCTGTCCTTGATGAGTTTTATAATGAATGACCTTCGCGAGCTTTTATCATCCATACTTTATTGCATTCATACAAATAACGACACTGGCAAGGGTTAACCCCTTCCATGCCATGGGAAGTCTTTCCTCTTCTCCAAGGGCATCATCCAGAACTGTTGAGACTGCTTACTCCTTGGTAGTACGGATGAACAGTCATCTGCAGCCATCCTTGAGGATTCAAAACCGGGATGTATTCACGTAGACGGAATCAAGTTCTGCATATCGGAGTAAGGACGGACCCGACCGACTCCTCCCTATCGCTTCCTTGGCTTTCTGCGATTCCTGACCTGAGGTCAACACTGGTTTCTTGGGAGCTACCTTTGGAGGTCTTCCCGTCGTCGTCGAACGAGAGTCTTTAACTTCTACGAAATCGTAGACCTCTTCGTCTTCATGGGGCTGGACGGGAAGGGACAGTTTTCTACTGTTGTTCGGAAGCGATGCTGTCGAGCGCCTCTGGTTTTCGTAGTAACTGTCTTGATCCATACTATCTTGACGAGGCTCGGCATAACCGCGTTTCGTGATAACGGGTTTCAGCATCTTTCTCCTGTTCTCTGGCGTAACAACAACATCGTATGGATTACTAAGTTCGTTTGCTGAATCACGTGCCATGTCGTGGTTGCTACCTACAGGGCCATAACTGTCACTGAATAGAGGGGAGCGTGGAGCAAGTCCAGGCACGTCATCTCCTAGTACGTATGTACATGTCATTTTTTCATCGGCCACACTCTGTAACTTCTTGGTAATTGCAGGGGATAGGTCTCCCGGGAGAACATACATACCCTGTGTAGCAAATGCATGCTTTGCCTCACTTCCCCGTCTTGATGTTGGCTCTGATCTGGTCTCACCAACATGGTCATACAAATTTGAATTACCACTTGAGAGTCCAGACAAATTAGATCGGAAATCTACAGTGCAATCCTCGATGGATGATTTGGGACTTTCTTCCAGTGAAGGGAACTTTTTAATAGGTTTCCTTGGTGACGCACCTTCCCTCTCACAGATGCGTCGATCAACATTAGTCGGTGGGGAGGTCTGTCCCTTGGACATGTCAAGGTATTGTGCCGTTACCGCAGGAGGTGCGACCAGATGATTGGCCGCAGAGGGCGGTGCGCATGTGTTTGATGAACCCTCGACAGGCTGCGGATTTCTCCTGGTTTTTGGAAAAGGTTTAGGCTTAGGAAGGGGTTTCCTTTGTCCAACCATAGATTCACCCATCCGATGATTATTATTGTCCTTCGAAACTGTTTTCTTTTGGGATGGTTCGGGTGAAGTTCGGGGCTCGTCTGCAAAAGCGGTATACTCGTTTTCGGTGACAGCGGCTGGTCCAATTGGGCGTCGGCCTTTTACAGGACTAGTTTGAAGATGTTTCGCCGATGAGGGCATTAGATCCGACATATTGACGCATTCAAATCCTTTAGCATCCTTTTGAAATTTGTGAGGTTTCAGTGGACCTGCCTCAGGGTCGATAGCTTCGTAGGAACTCTCCTGCGTAGTGTCTGCAAGGTCCATGATGTCATAGCCAGGATTTGAAGTGGCTGTCAGTTTTCCCTTGTGACCTTTGACCTTCTGTTTGAGTTTTGGTCGATCTCCATGACCTACAGCTCCGTTGGGCACTGTTCCGTTCGTTTGGATACCTGCTATACAAAAAGATAGAGAGAGGGGGAGAAATAGCGAGTGAGCTGAGCTGATATTGGACAAAAAGGAAGAATAATGAGAAAATAAGAGAGAACAAAGCGTGACCGGTAATGATAGGTAAATAGATAGAAGGAGTAGGTGTAGTATTAGTAATAGTAGTGGTGGTAGTAGTAGTAGTAGTAGTAGTCAGGCGCGTACGCAGGGGGGGGGGGGGGGCTTTGGTATTTGTTATGTGTGTATTTTGGAGGAAACCCCTCCCCCCTTTGGTAAATAAAAGTGTCCTTTTACCCCCCCCCCCCGCTTATTCAGCGGCTGGCTGAGTCGTTGCGAAATTTTCGGCCCGATTTAAAAATGTTAACCCCCCCCCCCCCTTTGAAAAAATCCTGCGTACGCGCCTGGTAGTAGTAGTAGTAGTAGTAGTCATGGTATAGTACTAATATTATTAGCAGTGTTAGCATTATTATTAGTAGTAGAAGTAGCAGTGATAGTAGTGGTAGAAGTTGTAGCAGTGATAATGCGGAGGGGGAGGAGGAGGAAGAAAAGTAACAGGAGCAGGAGGAGCAGGAGGAGAAGAACAATAGTTTACGGTATATGATGTAGTTACACACACACTTACTTTTGTTAAAGTCATAATTATTTAAAGTGTTCATTATGGTTGAAGGGAAGTAATGATTGTCAAACAAAAATATCCTGTCTGTATTTACCTTCACTATCCCTCCTTGTTGGTGACTCATTTTCCATCCTGTAAAAATATAATAAAAAATGAATGGATTATAAAATACACTCTATATGTTAACTACGATTCTAAGACACCTACCCCTGGAGAACCACCTCTAGGATAACCATCCTCTAGGACGACTACCCCCTACGACAACTACCCCGGATAACTACCCATTACGACAACTAACCCCAGGCAACTACCCCCTACGACAGCCTTACTCTAGGACAACTATCCTAGGGCCTAGTTGTCATGGGGTTAGTTGTCAACGTGTGAACTCGCAACATAACCCATGGAACCAATTCAATTAAAAAACTTCAATGTGTGTTCTTTAAATATTTGTTAGATTTCCTCATACGAAGATAAGAAAACATGGTTGCTTCCGTGGGCAGTTCCTGCCTTTCACTTCTCTGTAGTCATTCCTCAACTCACTTTGTCTAAATGAAAAGTGATTGTATATTCAGATATGAAAAATAATGTGCAAATTATGTGTAGTAAGGGATGGACCTAAGACCGAAAGACGTAAAGAAGACTCTATAGACCTATATAGAGACATGATCGAATCGAAAGTTGGACATCGTTAACAAGGCGAGTGAAATTAGTCGTACATAGGACCTAAAAGAAGACCCTGATCGCACCCAATTTATGACAATCAATATTATTCTAGGTCACTAATTTCGTCACTTTGGCAGTTTAATGACGTAAGCACTTGTAACTGCCTTCCTGTTCACGAAGAGCCATTGTATAACTAGGATTCGTATCGAATAGTTATCATTAATTACAGATGATAAACTATACCCGTGCTTACAGCGAAAATATGGTCTGAATTAAAAAGGTTTTGCCTAATATTGGGGAAAAACAATGAAAGCGCAAAGCAGTAAAGTGAAACGATAATAAACAAAGAATACACGGGTTTACCGAAAATGATTGAATTCGGGTAAAAAATAGTGTGACGGTGTTAGCTCAGTTATTTTGAAATATTCAAATAATTGTTTTCAAAATCTTCCATGGAAAAATATACACTAATATCTCTTTAAAAGAATATTTTCTGTAATATCATTATTATTCCAATCACCATACATAACGTAAAAGATACCGGTGTTTACAGCTTTGATTGAATCAATATACCTCTAATTATTTCGAAAATCAACGGCAGCTCTATAAAAAAAAAGAATTTAACTCATTTTAACACAGCAAGCTAGAATTAATTCAGTGCAATATAAAAACAAACAATACCCCATTTGTCATACTTCCTCAATTTATCCACCCTAATCAGTATTTAATAACAAGGTTGTTCCGTTGAAAAGTGGTAATATGCATAAAATGTTCACCAATGTGTTCCTGTTTGACGGATCACTTTATCACGTGAATTCAATAAATTAAAAGTGAAATTTTCCAAAATGTAGAAGAGGATGTGATTCAGGGACGGGTTCAAGATTGTCAGAGGGGAGGGAAGCAAATCAAACTGACTTGAAAATTATATCTGCGAATAGAAGTTTAGTCCTCCTATACCTGCTTGGTTAGGGGTCGAGGGAGAAATTAAAAAAAAATCCAAAGTGAACATTTTTATCCTACTTTAATCAGGAACAAAGGAATACGTTCAGCCCAACAGATGATATGGAAAACTGTCTTTCAAGTACCGCAGACAGTACTTTGGTAAGCAAAAAACATCTACATTGCAAACAAAATGAAGAGATGATTGACTAAAGGAAGGAGTACTTTTCACGCAACAAAGTCGGGCTCGTAAAACACACAAAATCGGCCCGTATTGACTTTACACACAGGACTATTAAGGGGGGTGCTTTCGAATGGAGGGAACATGCACACCCGTACCCTAAATAACACTGAGTGGGGGGGGGGGGGGCTTGGCTTTCGGAAGAGAACCCGATCGACCGAATACTGGACTATTATGAATCAAACAATTCGAATCATAAATATTCACGGGTATCAGTTTATGATGAATTTTAAAAAAATCATGGAAATACTAGAACATAATCATTGCTTGGACAATTTGGAGATATAACATGATGCAATCTATAGGGCTTAAGTAGAACTTTTTCTCACCTTCCAACGGGCTTCTTCTTCGGACAGAATTTCCTGACGCCGCAGACGACCCCACCGATCGACATCGCCAAGAACACGACCACGGCGACCGCGGATATACCCATCATCATCGGCCGACTCGACAGCAAGCTGGCCGATTTCCCTTGCCCACCGACGTAAACAGGCGAGGTTTCGATGTGGTTGTCCGGCGAGGCGGTGGTTGAGGTTCGGGTACGAGAGTGACGCTGAGTGTCACCGTTGTTGTTGCTGTTATGACTACTTGTAAATCGAGATGTTGTTGATGGTGATGTTGTCGTTGTTGTAGCGGTAGTGGGGATTTTCGTTGTGGTTGGCCGGGCAGTCGTTGTTACAGCTTCCGTTGTTGGTGCTATTAGTGATCAATGATGAAGCATGGTAAATATGAAATGAAATAAAATAAATACAAAATATCAATTTATCAAACTAGAGAGACAGTGAAAATTCTATTAAAACTATGGGTTGAATATGATCTAAGTGAATGTATGGGGTTGTGTTGTCATGAAAAAGTCTGGATATTTCTCGGCTGCGCGGATAAGTAAAGGGTTCAAGGGAAATTTTGTTTTTCTGTTTGTTTGTTCATTTTTAATAGTTTTCGTTTTTTTTTTAAATATTTGTTTAAGTGGCTGATGTAATTCCTGGCAATTATAACTAGAAAATAGCCTTGCAAAAGAAATAAGGCCGTTTTAATTGGATGATGTTAAAAAATCCTCTGGTATTAAATCCAGAATTTTCAAAATGGGACGGGAGTTTCCCGACATAATTTCCCCATGGAACATGTCTTTCGTCTCAAATCGGTGTTAGTGCATTCACCCAAAACACTTACTTTAGAAGCATAATACAGACAAAAAGGTAAATTGTTCAAAATTCTTACGTTGAGTTGGTAAACAATTCGTTCCTTCTGTTATCCACCCTGGACAGCACTCATAGTCCGACACATAGCCGATCCTGCTGGGTCTCCTAGAACCAACTGAGTACACCGTCCTATTCATAAAACAAACACAAACGAGATCGTTATATTACATTAATTAAATAAGGTTTAGGTGGGAAAAAAATAATACAGTCATAGAGCTAGTAATCCAGATTTCTGGTTCCCATATAACATACCTTGAACTGATCTTTTCACTTCAATAATTCCTATAAAAGCGCTTTGAAAGTTCTGGAGCACCAGCTGATGATTAGTTCTCCGTGTTGTTAGCTTCACTGACAATTCAAGACTGTTTCACCAAATAATCATTCTACCTCACTTGTTTTTAATTCTTTATAATCAGTCGTAATGGAAAAACTTTGAATTCAAGGGCGATGATGATTGAATTCTAAACCAGTGTCAATTAATTGCCATAATGCATAATAATAGAATAAACACCTGTGTAATTAAACCTTGCCCTACTGCCCGACATTCTTTAAAACAATCAATAAAATCCCCAATGTTATTTCATGCCTAGAATTTCGCTGAATCCTACCTATTTGATGAGGAAATCGATGAAAGTTTGAGGTGAAATAAGTAGTAATAATAATAACATCGGAAATCTGTTTCTTCAACATATGAATTACTCATTATGCGTCACAGACATTTCAGCCATCGATTTGCAGAAAAAAAAAACGCCATCCACCTACATAGCACATCTTTGTTATCATTATAATCATAATTACTGGTCATATATTTATGTAATGTGTAGCCAGTCACGGATGGGAGGTGGGGGGGGGGGGGCTGGTCATGGTCTGTGCAAGTAAGCAGTGGGTGGGGGGGGGGGTTAGGGGGGGGGGAGGAGGGGGGGACTGGTCATGGTCTGTGCAAGTAAGCAGTGGGTGGGGGGGGGAGGGGGGACTGGTCATGGTCTGTGCAAGTAAGCAGTGGGTGGGGGGGGGGGTTATATTCCAATTATTCTCCTTTCTCTTTCATGCTCCCTCTTTATGTCCTTCACATTTGTTTTTAATTTTTCTTTTCTTTTCTTTTTTCTTTATTTTATTCGATATTAAGCCATTGCTCCCCCAAAAAAGGATAACGAACTGTGCAAAAAAACAGGGAAGACCTAAGTTCAAAGAAGGCACCACTATGCGTGAGACATCTATCCTTTGGAGTGCCAAATATTATTTTTCATTGAGTTATAAAGCAAAATTAACTGTAATCATTTACTCAGTGGTTTTATTTCAACCATCTTAATATATATATATATATATATATATATATATATTAAACAAAATAGTACAGAATTTGCTAAATTAATAAACTGATATAATATAATAAAATATTAATTGACTGCATGATCTGAAACGTATGATGCTAAAACTATTTCCTCCTTTTACTTTGTATTATTATTTTTATTTGTACGGGTTAGGGGATTTTTTTAATTTCAAACTTGTAAACATGTTTGACCTAAATATGGTAATATTTCAGTTTAACCTGTCGAGTCATGATTCCCATCCGCACTATTTCCGATATGCCCTATGGCTTTTATTCTCCCTTTCATTTTCAAACATTTGCTTTTATTTTTATTTTATTTTTTTTATTTCGGGGATTTTTCTGGGTGTTTTGTTTTTGCACTCACTTACGTATTTTCCTTATTTTTAAGGATAATGATGATAAGGAAATTATATCGTATAGAAAGTGTATTGATTATATTTATATACTTTTTTATTTTTAATATTTATTTGTATTGATTGAATGACTGATTGCATGATGGGTTAACAAGTTGGTTGATTGATTTGATTGGGATTGGTTTTACATTGATGGTTTAGTTGGTTAATTGACTAATTTCTCAAATGAGTGATCGACTGGCTGAACAATATGATGAATTAATTGCTTAATACAACAATTATCGATTGATTGATTGGTTGGTTAGTTGGTTAACTTGGTTGGTTTTGATTGACCTGAATCAGTTGATGCATTGACTAACTGGTTCATTGTAGAATTGATTACTTAATTAATTGATTAATTGTTTATGTAAACATTTATCGTTGACTACAATACTGATAAATATTTTATGTGCATTAACTTCTCTGACTGAGTAACCGATTTAACCAGCTGTATAGCTTGTTGCGTGTAATCCCAAGTGAATTTAATGTGTAAATCATAAAGGGCCTAATTTTGGTCTGACAGGTCGATCGATTAATAATTGTTTCAGTAGGAGGACAGTGTGGGTGGATAATTTATAATCAATAGATCTATCTGTGTGACACAGGGAATTCTGTTTGATTAAGTGATTGGCTATACGTGGGAGATCAATCTTTGTTTGATAATGCAGGTGATTCATCAGTTTTTCTTAAGTAAAAGGGGTTGGACTAGACTCTGATGTCTGATATAATTCTTCACAGTCAGATATGCGATCAATCAGTGAATACGTAGGTGTGGAATGAATATGGCTATGACGCATTTAAACACAGTGACACAAAGTATATCAATAATCTGTACACGTTGGGCATGTTTTTCATTGTCTGAATGATTAATGGTTCGAACTTGCGACCGTCTGGCCAAACGCCCCCTGTACACGAAGCGTCAATTATCATGCGTCACTACCTGCGCTAATCCCGCACATCAATGAGCGATTGCGACAATAAATCCAAACGCAACGTTTGCAGTGTTCGTTTTGCATTCAATCGTTTTATATAATGATAAATGATTTCATGTCTTTCAGTGATAAATAACTTGTATTTTGGGGTTGATTGGTGCCCTTGTAATGTTGGGTCAGGTGTGGCAAGCGTAGATCAATGTCTTGTCAAAGGGCGTTAGAGGTGTGGAATTTGTTATAATAATAATAATAATAATAAAAAAAAAAAAATAATAATAATAATAGCCTAATAGTCCACTCCAAATTTTATTAAACCGAAACGGAAATTCTTTTTGCCCAATTGATCGTGAACCCGGCAGCCACTGAGCAGCGCCAGATCGACGTTGCTCTATCCCTTACTGTTGAACGCCAAACAAGGTAGTAACAACTACCATCTTTTAACGTCTTTTGGTATGACGCGGCCGGCGTTCGAACCCACGACCTCCCGGTTGTGAGGCGTACGCTCTACTGACTGAGCCAACACTCCCATTTGTTGGATGATAAAGCCGAGATGATTTTCATAACCATTATTGAGGGGAATAATCGGCCAAACGTGGACATCAGTATTGAGGGGAATAATCGTCCAAACGGGGACATCAGTATTGAAGGGAATAATCATCCAAACGGGGACATCAGTATTGAAGGGAATAATCGTCCAAACGGGGACATCAGTATTGATAACTTACCTGTAACGGGTACACCTTGCAAGGTAAAGAAAGCCACATTTCTCGTAGTATACTTCCGTTGATGATTTTGTGAATGTCTCCGTGTAAAAGACAACACGACTAAAGAGAGAGAGAGAGAAACAAGATAAGACGATTAAAAGTTTGTAACTATTTAGTTTTGACCATCTTAATATGTATTAGCAGTAGTAGTCGTAAAGTCGTAGTAGTAGTTGTAGCATCAGCAACTGCAGCAGCAGCAGTAGAAGTAAGGCCACATAACAAAAATGAAGTGTTTCCCGTCTCCGCCCGCCTTCTTTCCTTTTTCTTTTTCTTTTTTACTATTTACTATTTACTATTAAAAAGCAAAAAAAAAAGCCAGAAAAAAAGCCTGTGATATACAGTTTGTTTAAGTAGCTTCTAAAGTGATAAAAATTATTTGTTTTGTCATACATTACATCACTGTACTCACCAAGCACAAAATATGTGAATAAATAGGCTTGCGGCCAGCTAAAATTAGCATGGCAGCCATCTTGGAAAAAATGCAGACAATTGCAAAATAGTCAAAAGTATTGCCCTGCCTCCTCCCTTTTTAAAAGTCCGGACGAGAAACACGTTATTTTTGTTTTTGGGCCTAAGAAGTAGTACAAGTAGTAGCCATTGTGGTAGTAATAGCAGTAGTAGTGATAGCAGTAGTAGAAGTAGTAGTAGTAGTAGTGGTGGTAGTGATAGTAGTAGTAGTAGTAGTAGTAATAGCAATTGTGGTAGTAGTAGTGGTAGCAGTAGTAGAAGTAGTAATAGTAGAAGTAGAAGTAGTTGTATAGCAATAACCCTTTTTCTAAAATGTATGTAATACTAAGAACTTAAGATACACATGTACCGCTATAATGTATCCTTCAGGGCTTGTGTTGAATGGAATTACTTTGTTTTTACACAGAGATATGAACATTGACACTCAGTGTAACTTTATACCATGGAGTTAATAGCTTCACAAACCTTGGATGATTCACTATACGGGATAATTCTTTTTGTGTGTGGACACGCTGTTAGTATTATAATTCATACGTAACATTCTTTTTACTGTAAATGTATGTATTTCGCTGACTATAGGGCCCCGCTTAGAAGCTTAGCTTCTAAAGGGGTCCTAAAACCATTCAGTTTATGATGTTATCAAGTTAGAATATTTTGGTTGATGTACTATTACCAGTCTCTTTTTTATGTAACAGATTATATCATGCTTTGTGTGGTTTTGAATAAAATAAACTGAACTGAATTCATCGATTAATATCAATCTATTTCAAAAAGAAATTGTATTCACATTGGTATTCCAAAAATTATTTCACAGCATATAACAGTGTTTATCTTCATGGGGTAGTAATCTTAAGATAGCACATCAATATGTATCCGACTTGTTTAAATAATAAAAAGATCATTTATTTTCAAATTGGCAATCGTTATTGCTGATATAAACAATTAGAGGAAGGAAACAAGAGACATTCTTGACCGCCATTTTTTCGTCTGATTGTATTCATGGGGAAATGAGACACAGCTAATGCTTCCCGCTCAACTTCGGAAATTCTAAAATCCCAGAACAAACAAAGTTATGTCGTTGTCTGATCGTCATCAAACGTTACGCATGATGAAATGCACGTGGACCATTTCCCCCTATATAATGATGGCCATTTTATCTTCATAACATCCAGTTAGCTACAAATTTATTAAGAGATATCTTTTGGGCCTATGCGACTGTATAACCTTCGCGTTTATGATAATTTTATGTTTGATGAGGACATACAGTACAAGAGACCTTTCTGGCACTTAACGCATCGTTATTATCTTTGATTTTTCTCGATTGACCAACATTTATAGAACCATACATTATACCCAAAACGTAAAAGTGCCACACTCAAAGCCAATTTTAGACATTTCCTGTATTTGGTGTTTACATTGATCAACGAGAGGCTTCATGTGAGTGATGTATCCTAGGGGATATACTATGCACTTCAATATCTCCTTCAACTTATAAACAAGTGATTTTATTATGACATTACTAAAAGAATAAGAATGAAAAAATGTCAACATCGTCAAAGGTATACTCGAAATCCTTGAAATTATATCCGAGTCCGGATGTTCTCAACCTCAACATAAGCAACATGAGTACAACTGGTTCATATTCGTCTAGTAATTAAAGTCCTCCATCTAGGCTTTTGATTCTATAGTATTTCGAAAGATATTCATATGATAAAACTACACTTGATTTATAAAGCACTCAATGCCATACACCATCTTTAAGAACAAAATGTGATTATCCCGGTAATCGGATAAAATACTCCCTGGGGAGTATTTCTATCTTTTGGTACTTTTGTACCATGTTAAAGTTTGTCTTCTTTTCACTGTTGTTATTGTTTTTATTGCTCTACTATACCTTACTTGCTTCCTGATATATTGTTTTTGACAATTCCAATTGTCAAGTCTTTGTCAAGTGCCATTTTACAAATTATTTCATTCTCCTATTACAGATAACATAAATTATTGCTAAGTAAGACAAGCCATAATTGTTTCTATTTCATTTTTAGTTAAATATTTTGCCACATTATTTTGTGAATAATTTTTGCGGAAAATTTGCTTTAACAATGTCGGCCTCCATTTTCAAAAGGTTTAAGCACAATCCCTTTATAATTTATATTGCATATCTATCCCAAGAAATTATTATATAAGGCGACTACAAAGTTCGATCATTAACCTGGTTTTATTCCAGCTGCCATAAGGCACTCAAAGCATCCAAGAAATGAATTTCTACCAGGTACCCATTTACTATACACCTGGGCGGAGAGAGGTAAACGTGGATTAATGCCTAGCCCAAGGCCATTAGTGTCGCGAATCATACGATCCATAGTCCGGTGACATGTCCACTAGACTTATCAATCAAGTAAAGTCTAAACGTTTATTTCTTATTTTCAATCTTATTTTCGATGCAACGTGTTAACCCCCTGTCCTTAGAAACTGTGTCACACAAAACAAATACGATTCCTAGACTCACTGTCACTGCCACATCCACCGAAAGAAACCTTGAAGGTTATTACTCAAATTTCTTTTTCTTTAAAACACAACTTTAAATTGGTCTTCAAATGACTCACACCTTGGAAACATGGTGCTTGGGAAGGCTCTGTCATATCGTTTAATATTCAATGTATGCCCAAATCTTGGCTTATTTTCCCACGATATGGCTTACTAGCGGGTGTCTGATTATGTTTACGGAAGAAACGTGGAACAGAAGCGGTAAGCGTCAGGAAAACCCGTAAAATCACGGTGCCAATAATCTTGTGGCATAATTTGATAACATTGCACAATATAGGACGAACGCAGAAAACCGAACAAATTGTGAGAAGTGAAAGTAGGAGTAGTGGTAGCAGTAGTATAAGAATAAGAAGTAGCAGCAGCAGTAGTAGTAGTAGTAGCAGAAGTAGAAGTAGTACTTGTTGTTTTTGTAGTTATCATCAGTGGAAATAAAGCAGTATGCTTCCAAAATACAACAATAATAGTGATCATCATAATATAATAATGATGAGGAGGATGAGGATAGTTATAATGAAAATAATAATAACAATAATAATAATAATAATAATAATAATAATAATAATAATAATAATAATAATAATAATAATAATAATAATAATAATAATAATAATAATAATAATAATAAATATAATAATAATAATAATAATAATAATAATAATAATAATAATAATAATAATAACGATCATAATACTAACACCACCACTACTACTACTACTACTACTACTTCTACTACTACTACTACTACTACTCCTACTTATGATAATAATAATTTTAATAACAATTACAAAGATAATAATAATAATGACAATTATATATTTTAACAATAATCTACTTTTAAGCGCTAGCAGGATTATTAAGGCTTCTCTTACTGCACTTTTGCAAGGTATATATCATATTACATGAGGTGTGGTCTTACCTGACTTTCTTTGTACATCTTCCATCTTGTGCTATGCTTGATGTAAGACTACTCAAACAGACCAACAGCAAGAGGGATAGCGACCAAGAATCCATCCTAAGAAAAATCAAAAAAGAGACAAGATTTAACCGATATCTTGGAAATAAAGTGGAGTACTGGTTATTTGTTGGCGATCGCCTTGTGACAGAAACTGCATGGAAGCAAGTTGGGAAGGTTCATAATGAATTACATAATAATTGATGTATACTGTGAGGTTTTTTATCATTAAGATGCTAATAAATCGACCGTCTATCTTGCTATAAATAACATGCACTGTACATATAAATGGGTATATGGGACTACACATACATGTGGCGTAAACTGACGAGTTGGTCCAGACTTTTCAGTTTTTCTCATCATATAATTATGACAAATTTGAGGGCATTTCAGGACCAAACAACTCTTCGAATAGAACTGAATGCCGTAATTTCCCTTTACAGATCCAAATGTAGGTCATGGTAAAATGAATATGTGCAGTCGTCATCATTAATGAATTCAATGATGTACTATTTATGTGGTTTAACGAAAATCGAACTACTCATCAACTTCTCTTTAGCTGACAAATTAGTGGTTTTAAAAGTCATTGCCATATCAAAAGAAAACGTTTTGGGCGTAATTAGTTAAGTGCAGTCAAAACAGGATTATATCCTATTTGCTTTGATCATTGCCACATAGAAATAGAACGTTTAAAGGGGCACCAACTATTCTTCATTCAAATGGTTCAACTCACACTTGGAATAATGTATGTGTTAAACAAAGAAATAAAAATATTCCCTGAAATCATTCTTATTGTAGAAATCAAAAATCAATTTAGCGACACATATCATTCATCAAATTGGCAACGATATTCAGTCCATTTATTTTCAAATATATTTCGAAAGTAGCTTTCACAGTATACCGGGTTCAGTTGCCGTGTCCTCTCAATTGAATCAAGCCATGATGAATTAGAAAAAGGGGGACCACTGTCTCATCCAGTATTACAAATTCCGATTGTATAATCAATGCGTTACCCTATATAACTATAATTATTATGCTGATTGAAAATCTGATAGTCAATCACTAAAAACGTAAAAGCCTAGAAGGGAATTTTTGTGTGTGTGTTCGTGTATAGCTTACTTTTTGTTATCCTTAAAAAAGAAGGTATTAATTTCTATTTCAGGCTTTGATTATAAACTTATTTCATACCATTGAAAAAAGCACAATGTCATGCCGTGTTTATTTTGCCCTTAATCAGCTAATGGATATTTTCATTTGAAGAGCAGCATATCAATGGTATGAAATAAGTTTATTATCAAAGCCTGAAATAGAAATCAGCATAATAATTATAGTTATATAGGGTAACGCATTGGTTATAAAATCGGAATTTGTAATACTGGATGAGACAGTGGTCCCCTTTTTCAAATTTCTCATGGTTTGATTCAATTGAGAGGACACGGCAATGTTTTAGCCTAATTATATTGGATGAAGTTGAGGTGATAAAAAAACGATTGCATGGTTACCATCAATACTTTATTAACCCGTTGATTACTGAATGTTCTCATTGTCACATGTTTAATACAGGGGCCACCATGTTCCAGTAGGCAATATAGAAAGGTGTTTGAAATTTATTTGAACCGACGGAAAAGTGCAACCACTTTTATTTTTTACCCAGGAAAAGCACATTGATATGCTGCTCTTTAAAATGAAAATATCCATCAGCTGATTAAGGAGAAAATTAACACGGCATGACATTGTGCTTTTCCTGGGTTAAACAAATAATAGTGGTTGCACTTTTCCGTCGGTTCAAATAAATTTCAAACACCTTTTTGTTTTCTAAAAAAAAAAATAGTTCAAGGATACTTTGTTACTATCATCGATAAACATTGCTTTATTAATCAATGACGAACCCATTGCCTACTGCAATGTTGTGGCACTGTATTAAACCTATGAGAATGAGAGAATTCAGTAGTCAACTAGTTAACTATTGATGGTGCCCATGCAACCGTTTTTTAACACCTGTTTTTGTCTCAATTTCATCCAAAATAATTAGGCTAAAACTGACAAACATATGCTTATGTCATGTTGGTGATGACGGGAAACTAGTTGAAAAACAGAACTTTCTCTTGATTGCCTTATATATACTAATATCTAAATATATTTTTCTGAGAAATTGGTCGTCGTTATACTGCATTTTCATGGACAAAATTCATTTGCGTGGATGGTTGTTTTACTGACACTGGTGTAATAGCTGAAGTACTAATATCATTTAAACATGTAGCCTCGTTGTTTCTAACCTTGCTTTAACAACATAACATGATGTTTCACGGCTATGAGTATGGGGTGATTGGCACATTGCCCATCCCCTATCATATTTAGTCTCATGCTGGCAAAACAGAAATGTTTTTTATATCATGTTTACGGTTTGTCGGGTAAATTGTCTATTACACTCTCCCTGATTGCACCAATAATATGTAACATGAACGGAAATATTTATTTAAAAAAATCAACCTCAGCCATTTCAATAGGATTGTGCACCATCATGTGCTTCACCTTTAGAAATGTTCAAACATAACAAAGATATATTGCGTAATCAGAACAAGAGTTCTATAGGAAATACGTCGGTATTGATATTGTATTTGGGTTGAATTCTCGAAGGTCTTTGCGATTTTTTTTGGAAATGCAAGTCCACATTGAGCAAATGGAAAATAAGTTAGGTTTCAATTGTAAGTTCATATTGCTGACGTGAGTCAGAGAGGTGTTAATTAGGTTATAATTAACACCTCTTTGGCTCTCAACAGGACAGGGTGATAATCTGTGCATGCTCTTATCATGTCTGTATCTTTTGTATGTACTGCTAAGGGTTATATGTATATATTTCATTGTTTCAAATACATTTGCTGTACTTCTTGTATCAGCACTCTGATCAGTATTTTGTGAAAGTGCTTAATCATTATCGTCAATTATTATTATTATGATGTAGTTTTCATGTGGAAGCATTGTGCGAGTATGGAACGTCACATGTTCTGATTTTTTTCCGAAAGTTGAAATAAATCAACTATCACTCCTCCCCCCCCCCCCCCCATCGAATAATCTGAAAGTATTCCTGTCGCTGATGGTACTTTTAGCGATTGATACAAGCACCTCCCCCCCCCCCCCCCTCCCCTTAACGCGATACTGAAGTATTCAACGAAAGTTTTCATATGAGTCAAAACTATCAAGCCCAATGCGAAGTGCTGCATCAATAAAACAATTGATACGAGTTATGTACGAACAAAGAGTTTGATAATACGAAATCTCAACTGTTTGTGGTGGAATGGTTTCTCAAAAAATGAAATTTAATGTAGCATTTACAAATTACATTTATTTCCGTCTGCATAAATGCATATGTGTATATGATAATCGGTTTGCGTAACGCTTTTCATTACTTTCTTTCAACCATTTCATTAGTTTAATTTTAATAGTCACCTTTAACGCGCTTTAACAGGCGCGTAGCCAGGGGGGGGGGCGGTGGGGGCGGTCGCCCCCCCAAAACGCCGGCCAAAAAAAAAAAAAAGAGAGAGAAAGAGAAGAAAAAAAAGAAAGAGGACGTAGGAAGAAAAAGGGAAAAGGAGTCGAGAACGGTACAATGAATCGTCAAAGCTTCCGCGCTTCGCGCGGGAAGGGGGAAACCGAATTCAAATTAAGAAATATGAGTCGGGAAAGGTACAACGAATCGTCTTCTTTCTCTAATAATTTAATGAAACGTCAAAGCTTCGCGCGAGAGAGGGGAGGGACTGAATTCAGACAAGGATTTTGAGTCGAGAAAGGTACAACGAAGCTTCCGCGCTTCGCGCGGGAGGGGGGAAACTCCCCCCTCCCTGCACCCACCCCCCTAGGGAGCGCGCGAAGCGCGCTCTTTAAGTGATTCGCACGCTTCGCGTGCTCACTACCGCCCCCCCTAAAATGAAATCCTGGCTACGCGCTTGCGCTTTAAAGTTGGCCTACAAAATATCCACGTATCAAGATCTAAAGTACTGAAGGAAATCATGGTTTTCAGGAGGAAAGATCACATGTTCAGAGGCATGATCATCATTTTCGACCAACCTAGGGAAGTCTTCAAAATCCTGGCCCGGGATCTAAACATGCTCGAAACTGTGTTTACCAGTATTAGATTGGCACGGGTCGCTTGGTATAAAACATAAGTCTCTGTTTGTCATACGCCGACTAATTTTCATTCTAGTTGGTGCTAAATTTATTTGCTAAATCGTGCATGAACGATAGTTTTGTGTTTCGAACCTTTTTTGTAAATAAGACCAACAAGCGCTGGATTAAAAGTAATTTCAATGCACTTTAATATCGAATAATAAGATTTGTGAATGAAATATTCAAATCTCGACATCACATGAGAGTACTCCATAAGTAAAATCAGCGTATTATTATAACAAAAAAGTTGATGCATTAGTGAATTAGATTTCTCATGACACTTGTACAACTCGAGAAGTGAAAAGTTTCATATTTTGGAGATTATTGTTATTCTTTTCCTTTTCTTAATATCTTGAAACACTACATAAGATTTGTGCTTGCGCACTGTCTTGCAGGGAAATGATAAAACAGCAAATCTTTGACTTACCCAATCTGAACCAATGGCTAATCCAATGTAAAAACGTTCGATTTCAAGAGCACAAGAAATGTAGATATCCGAATTGCGTCCATACACTGTCTCTGCTCATCACAATGAACTGTCAATTGTCAAACTGATAGTCTAATCATGGACCTATGGTCTAATCCAATTTATCGAAGAAATATCTCCCTAAAACAACAAGTCACCTGCGTAGCGGAAGCTCGCCCAATACTTTACAGTCGTTGTATTGTTGAAAACTCTTCTGAGGGCGGAAACTTCTAACAGTTGCGAATGTGGTATAGGATATGCCAAGAAAAATGAGAAGAATTAGGATAGGATTGGAGGGAAAGTTTTGATATGAGTAAGTTGGATTTGTATGTAGACGTATTTGAAGAGCCGGGCCTTGTCCTATAAAGAGTTGCGATAGACCAGTTTTGTTTGCATGTTCTTTACCTATATATCGCAAACGTTCAACTCCTGTTTAGTACAGAGTTGCAATTGATTTAAACTAATCGCAACTGCTCCTAGGCCGAAAAAACTCAGAACTGCAATTTATGTGTACGAGTGTGACGTTGTGAAATTTTACCAACCCAAAGACCCAACTCGACATCGAAACCTGGTCCTTCGTGTGAAGATTATAGACCTGACCACTAGACCAACTCAGATCTTCTGTATCATGCTTCGGTTCATTTGTATCGCCTTTTATTGATGTAAAGGGTGATCTGCAATATTGAAATCAGTTTCTGACTTTACATACCAATTAATATCTTACTGTATATTCCCATATTTGAGTAGCCTAAAAGACTAACATTTCCTCTTCTCGTCTCATGTATTTTCCTTTCTATTTTCCTGTCCCATTTCCTTTTGTTTGTTTATTTTTCAGTAAATAGACGCTTTATTCACTTTGAAATTGCATTCGTACATTAGACTGTCATTTGTCGTTTTCCATTATCTCTTACCAATATGTTACTTTTATCTGTTTTACCTTTATCTCTCTCTCATTTATCTCTTACCTTTTATTTCTTACGTTCCTACCATTTCCTCGCTTTATAACAATCTACCCCCCCCCTCTCTCTCTCTCTCTCTCTCTCTCTATCTCATCCTCTTATGTTCCACTATTTTCTGTCTTTCCTCTTTTCTCTCTCTCCCCCTCTCTCTCTCTCTCTCTCATTCTTTCTGTCATTCGTTCGCATAGTACGTTATTTTTTTTTTGTAGAAAGCGATAAATATGGCATAATCCTCTTCCCATGCACGGCCTATAATATACTCAACGAGTCGTATATACATTACAAGTAAAACCATCATGGTATTGTGCGTTGTGTTGGGTTTATTTACAAAAAAATGTTGGTTGAATATGTTAGATTTTTCAATCCTTGTAGATGACTCTTTTACTATTGATAGAAAAGTCGACTCTGATATGAGTATGTTTTGATAGAATGGGGGGAAATATCTTGTTTTTCTTTTTCTGTTCAACTTCCCCTGTCGGAATCACTTGTCGAATTGGTAACTGATACAACTGATAAAGAAGTTTAATGAAAACAACTCTCGGGCAATGCAAACAGGGATTAGGTAATATATAGGTCCCTTTTAAATCATTTTGCACACACGTAATTCCCCACAACAATGAACTTTCGAGACTTTCATCCTCTCCTATTTATGAATAAAATAGATGTATTCATAAGATTCACTTGTATCACGAGAACCAATTCACTTTCCATATAAACTATGCAATAACCGGTGGGCTACGAAGAATTAATCATAAACATTATAACTTTGGCACAAACCTGTCATATTCTTCCGTTGATAAACGAGAAGAGGTCAGGCGGTTCTATTGTTAGACTGACCGAGGTCATTTGTAGCAGCTAAGTGCATTGACATAATTATTTTTTTCCGAAGAAGCCATGCTATCGAAATTCATATCAAAGTGCATTGGTGGTGGGTACCATACTACTTGACATGTATCCCCTGTTAATATTACATGCATTTTAAAAGTTGAATATGTGATGATTAAAGATAAGTTAACCTTGTACTAGATCTCCAGGGGAATGGTTTATCAAAATATAAGGGATATGACTTTCTGAAAATGATAGGTACTTTCTTATTTTCAGCGAATGTCCATTTTGAAATGTTGATGACTTTCGAATGTTTATAAGTAAGACTTCACGCGTAATTCATTATCTTTTATCACAAGGCCCTATTCCGAAAAAAGCGAATTGACACTCACAACAGTAAAATGGTGTAAGATAAATTATTATCATGATTATAGAAGTAGTGGCAATTTCATATTTTCTTAAACACAGTCGATACAACATATCAACCCCTTCTTCTATCTTCCTCTCTCTCTCTATTTCTCTCTTTCTCTCTCTCTCTCTCTCTCTCTCTCTCTCTCTCTCTCTCTCTCTCTCTCTATATATATATATAATATATATATATATATCTCTTTCTCTTTCTCTCTTTCTTGCTCTCCCTCATTCCTCCTCTCTCTTTCCCGTCAACACTTAAAGGTAATACAAAGTTTTGGGAAATTTTGAAGATTGGGTGGATAGTGATTCTTTACAATTTTGATATATTTGGATGCCCCTGCGGATTTTTTATAAGCACTAGAAAATTTAGTCCCTAAAACACTTCTGCTTTCGAGAAATATTGACTATAACAATTTCAAATAGCGCCTACGGCCGTACAATGGTAGCTGCGACCATGAAAATCTCAGAATATGTAGTTGTGTTATAAAATTTCCAACGTGAATAGCTAAACGGTAGATTTTAGTGAAGAAGCATTGTTTTATAGCTTAATTAATATCTTGACCTTGAGAGGAAGCTAATCAACATAAAGTTTATTATTTACCATGTCATAACTTTAGACTCGATTTCAACTGCGACAACGATCACTGAATAGAGTAGGATCGCATATGCTTCCAATATGTTCTTTTGAACCAAATTCATGACCCCATACCAAAACTTTATAATACCTTTAACAACGGTATGCATGGTATTGGTCAGGGGAGTCTTCTCCCCGCCAAAATATCTTCGCTGTCTGTATAAATTTTAATGTAATTGATGGATATGGAATACTAATCATGGTAATTGATACTGCCATTATTACTTTTTGTATAAGAGAAGAGGGTGCAGTTGATTATGCCTGCGGGAAATTCAACGCATTGTCTACCTAATTACTTAGATCAGCACGGCATCAAATTTATAAATTGGCATCCTAATATTAATAGAGAGAGGTGCAAAATAATAATTGATATCATCAAGATCGTGATAAAACGTTAGCATCGAATATTTCTACACGTTATATCATATTGACATATGGATATGGTAATTTTCAGATATCTTTCGGCATTTTGTTTCATCATTGATCGATCATTCTTTAGGCCGGCACTTTGCAAACCATCCCGTAAAATGGGCATATAAATTGGACAGGTGTAGGTTATAATATGTTCTCATTTGATGGTTTGTGTTTTGCAAATTTTACTTCATTGTTGTTGTTTACTTGTCTTTTCTTGTCCTGTCTTGTGTTGTTTTGTTTTGTTTCGTCTAGTTTTCTTTATATTGTGTTTGTTTACCAACATTGGCTATGTTTGGGAAATCACCGTTGAAAAACCTGACTATGACATGGGGGTCAATGTCAATGCTGTAATACCGAAGGGCTGACCGCTAGACCTTTACTCACATCTGCTTTTCAAACATGTCAGTGACCGTTCATGCTTGCATTTATTGACCTACCATGAACTCATAGAATTCTGGTCAGTAAATAAAAGGCTCTTACAGGTATGACGCGGTGAACCGTCGCAAAAAGCCATCGCGGTTGTTTACACGTAAATGAATGAACCAACTTCATAGGCCTGTTGCACACGAGACGTCGTTTGTCTGACGTAGGACTGCGTCATTGACTGACGCTCCCTTTAATTAACGCACCATGTATGAGTGGTAACGTACAAACAAAGTGAATCCGAAATGAACAGTGCAAACATGACATGCACATGCACCAATAGCCTTCGTGGACTTGATTAGCGCAGGTAATGACGCAAGCAAAATGACGTCACGTGTGAGGTATGGACAAACGTAACAGAAGTTCAACTTTGCCCCAAACTGTACACAACCCAAAACCTATATTTGAACCTCAAAAAGTGCAAATTAGCACCTTGGACAAACCATTGTTAAAGGAGGGTGGAACTCACATCCCACATCTTCCTTCAGACATTCAAATGCTAATTTTATTGGAGGAGCTCGAGCCTTTGAATGTTTTTTGAAACAGATATATGGCGCCATAAAAAGGCTGTTCATCATCGCCATCATCTCTCAATGAGCACCTTCAGGGACGTGGTGCTTCTATCGTACCGTGTCGATGTATTGTGGTATAGTGGTTCATTTACTTGACTCTCAATCCAAGGGGTAGCGGATTCGAATCTCAGCCCGGCAATTTATATAATGTCCCATTTTGAAATACATTAATCCACATGTTATGTGCCACTCTCGTCCAGGTGTTAAAAGGGAACACGATATGACGCAACAATTATTGTAGAGCGTCGATCTGTATGATGGCGCCTGGTTGGAATGCTCCCCGTGGAGTGGAGAATGTGTGCGGGCAAGTCTGAATCCGCTGACCGGTTAAATCATATATCTGTAAAGCGCTTATAGAGACATACAGTAGTCGAAATATTGAGCGCTATACGTTATACTCTTATTGCCGATTCTCGGATGGTAAACAAAATATTTGGGTAACATCGCTAATCGATGAGTTTTAAATTGGCTGTTCTGTGTACCTTTAATGCAAATTTAAAGTTTATAGGCAATCACCATTCCATCAATGTTTAATCTAATTGAATCAGCAGGAAATGTGGTTTCACGTGCTACACGAACTTTTTAACATTTAAATGACTTGTTATGTCACAGGATAACATTAAAAGAGAAAAAAGGAGAAGATTGTATTGACCTTTCACAAAAATCAGATTCAGATTTTAAAGGACGTTAAAGAATCGGGAAAAACAAAGGATTATCATTAATTATAGCATATCATAATGCAATGCGATTCTATCTTTGAAAGCAATGTGCACATTAAATTTTACAACTCAGTTGTTCACAACTGCGCTTCAAAAACAGTGATTCCCTTGATGATCGTGCTTTTGGTAGGCCTATATTTTATTGCTATGATTATATGAGCCAGGCCCCTTAATCCCAGATATTTTGTTGTTGACATCCGTAGTCTAAATAATAGTTACCCTTCTGAATATGCCATGCGCAAAATTGATTGATCATTCTGTATATTAGTATATGTCCCTACCATCGCTGCTCACGATTTGGCAATTTAAACCTCCTCTTGTTATACAATGCCCAGTAAAAAATACACTTTCTAATTTTACAAGCTTAAATCCATCATGTCTGTTATGTCTATTGTGTATGGCTAGTACAGGGTACATTGGTGGATTACCATTAAAACACAGGAAAGGAGGGACTAGGGATGAACTTTCTGTCACAGCAACTCTTTCCTATTTATCATCTTTTATTGGCAGCTTTCAGGCAGAGAAACCGCCGAGTTGTGACCATGATTCGGAAACAGGTGACCTGTTACTTCCACTTTGATGTCATTGGGGTTTCACGCGGTGACGTGGAGCAAGAGTGTGTCCATACCAAATTTGATGATCGCCGTCCATACGTGTAAGATCTCTCGGAACGTTGAACATTCCATTGGGATAATTTTGTATCATATGGACAGCTCCATCTTATCTCAATAGACAAGTCCATACACCTCTTCGAGCTGAGAAATCTAGAGTAATATCCACCCTGTATTCACTCTGTTGATTAAGCATGAACGAATCAACAGATCAGGGTATAACACAAACTGGTATAGACACACCCTAATCATTAGCCCTACCAGTAGTGACAACGTCTGTACATGTAGAGTAAACGCATGATCGAGTCTCAGTCTGGTTTAATGTTGGTTTTCCGACCCATTGTTTTCTAATATGTATCATGTTATTCTTTCTTCCTCTCCTTTTCTGTAAATCCATGCATTTTGGAGACATGCCATAAGAATGAGTCACGAGATATAAATTTCATTTTCCACTTACGCCTACGATAATACTGATTTTCCACAGTTTATCAATACATGGTATTTATATGGCACTGTATACAGATCGACCGTTGTAACTTTTAGTCTAATTGACAAAGTATTTTAAAGATACTATGTCCCTTTTGCAGCCAACATCAAATTTTGTAGAACTTTGCAGGAATGACGAATATGTCATGTGTGTCCTATCTGTGAAATTTAAACGTTAGCAGTGTACTAATATTCAAATTATGCAAGGATAACCGTTTACTTGATAGACGTCACTGTCAGACACTATTGAGTGACTAACTGGCTTTTTCTTCTTTCGTAGTATACATAAAATGAGCTGTAAATGGTATATAAGCATTTGTCTACATCAATAGAAACTAACTTATTGTAATGGCCAAAACTAAACTGATTGAATATTTGCGCATCATAAAACGTACGACCATTCGGTACAATCGTCTGAATATCAGACTATTACTTACTGGCTCTATAGCTCTTAAGTCGATTCGACAACTAATAGTCGTTACTGTCCCACTTAAAGACATTTTCAAGCCCTCCTTTTTGGGGAAGTTCTAAACTAGTATTATCTTTCAAATGCCGTTGGAATTACACCTTTTCATTTATTTAACCTGCAATCGGGACATAGTACCTTTACCCGATGAATAAATCAATCAATTAATCGTTCAGACAATGTATTCAACCATGCGGGTAGTCAAGCCAACAAATTACTCAGCCACCACCATACCACCTTTTATGAAGAGGCACGTCAAGTAAAGTGCTTATTAATAACATGTTTTCTATCCACACTTGAAAATATGATACGAATAGAATTGTATGGGATTAACTATAAAGCATGCTTTCATTTCAGCTAAATCATGGAAGGCAATTTCTGGGAACCGTATACCACTAAATGAATGGGGTTTTTTAAGGGGGGGGGGGGGTCTGTTTGCTCGGTTTCATTTTTTAAATTAAAACAGCATTGCAAAGGGGGTGCTTATGCTGTATTATTAAGAAAAGTACAAATAAATGTTTTGGTTCGGAAACACTTTTTAGGCAAAAGAATTACGTCATCATAATTATGTAGTCACAGACTATATTGTGCGTGGTGGTAGGCAGTGCCGATCACCGCACCGACATCCTTCCCGAGTACCGTCATCAGGCCATGACCGTCATCATACACAATGGGTCTAGGTCGTCAATAGTTAAACCAAATATTCTCGCCCCCAAATGATTCAAAGTTTCGAAATTACTCTAATGGCAAATATCAATTCAAATGTCTGCATGTCCTGTAAATTATTTTGATTGCATCGTTATACATGACTTTCATATTCACGATTTCTGCAATATATTCATAATCATCATTATCCTCATCACCCTCATCACCATAGACATCATCATCATCATATTCTTTATCAACATCCGCATCGTCATCATCATCATCATTTTCTTCATCAGTAGCATTATTATTGTCAACATGGGTGTATATGGGAGACGACCGTTTATGAGACAAGAATAAATTGAATTCTCGCTCATACGGCTTCATCAGAAATTGATGAATTTATTCAATTTATTCAATCGACAGCGTCATAGAAATGCAATGCGCCAAATGCAAAGCCGCAGCGTTAAAAAGCAACGATCTTAGTAAATGTTAAGCACGAAACGCAAAAGTTAAAAAAAGAAGAAGAGAGTGGGAGAGAGAGAGTTAATGAGAGACAGAGAGGATACAGGCGCGTAGCCAGGGGGTGGTGGGGGCGGTCGCCCCCCATAATTTTTTTTAAAAGACGCCGAGAGAGAGAAAGTGAAAAGGAAGAGGACGTATAGGAAGAAAAAGGATTAAGAGTCGAGAACGGTACAACGAATCGTCTTCTTTCTCTAATAATTTAATGAAACGTCAAAGCTTCCACGCTTCGCGCGGGAAGGGGGGGGGAAACTGAATTCAGACAAGGATTAAGAGTCGAGAATGGTACAACGAATCGTCTTCTTTTTTAAATAATTTAATAAAACGTCAGAGCGGGAAGGGGGAACTGAATTCATAACAAGGATTAAGAGTCGAGAATGGTACAATTAATCGTCTTCTTTCTGTAATAATTTAACGAAACATCAAAGCTTCCGCGCTTCGCGCGGTAGGGGGGTGGGAAAAACTGAATTTAGACAATGATTAAGAGTCGATAATGGTACAACGAATCGTCTTCTTTCTTTAATCATTTAATGAAACGTCAGAGCAGGAGGGGGAGGGGGAACTGAATTCATAACAAGGATTAAGAGTCGAGAATAGTACAATTAATCGTCTTCTTTCTCTGATAATTTAATGAAACATCGTAGGGGGGAACTGAATTGAGACAATGATTAAGGGTCGATAATAGTACAACGAATCGTCTTCTTTCTTTAATCATTTAATTAAACGTCAGAGCTTCCGCGCTTCGCGCGGAAAGGGGGGGGGGGGAACTCCCCCTCCCTGCACCCACCCCCTAAGAGGTGCTCACTACCGCCACCCCTAAATTAAAATCCTGCCTATATGCTTGAGAAGATAATAATCCAGGTAGCAAGCCTATGGACCCACATGGGTCCCATATTCTCTAAAATGTTATCTTTATTGAGGGTGACTTTAAAAATTTAATAACTTGTAAGGGAGGGGGTGCAACCTGCCACACGCATCTACCTCTTTGTTGCTTTGATCCATTGCCGAAAATATATTGGCACATATCATCCCCCCAACCGAGGATACAAATCGACACCCTTGATTGTCAACTTGACAGTGATTATTACTTCTAATCAGAGTGATTGGGACAAAAAGCTGTCTAAATGTTTCCTGCCTTTTTTTTGTCTGTATGTTTCTTTCTTTCCTTGTTGTTGATGTTCGCCCTCATCGCCCTCGTATGCGTAGGAATGTATTGATTTGATGAATATGAGTCTGTCATACTTATAATTAATATTCATTGTTCATGTCATCATCGGCTAAAGAGGGCGGTATGTATTTTTTAAAAACAGTATGCGTTTGAGTAGAGCTGTGCAGTAACAAGTGCAATCACTTTTTTGTTTCTGCTGATGAGGAATGCAAGCTTTCTAGGAATAAAGACACAATACAATCATATTGAGTACGAATAATTAGTATGGATTTTTAATTTACTGTAGATATTCAAGGAGTATAAATATATCTTCAACTTTATAAATATGTCCTTCTATTTATCAAACAGTGAAAGATAGATTTTAGTTACACGTCATGTGATATGATTTGACGAGAATTTATTATAAGCGCTCTTAGTATTCAGCATATTTACAACGAATATCATTCAGCGCATGTAATAATGCGCGGCGTTTAAATCATACATGCCATGTCAGTTTAAATACATCGCTCTTCGTATTTTCTTCAATATAGTCATTCAGCTCTTTGAAAAGAGCGTCATATAAAATTTTAGAAAGATAACTAATACCACCAAAATGAAAAGGATGAATATCTTACAATATCGTGTATACACGCATTTTTCAGGAAACATGAAATGCATTATAGATCTAATATCTTATTTTAAACATTTTATTCAGTTCCTAATTAAACACGATCTTTGCAACCGCAACAACTTTCGAGAAATTAAACTTAATGCAATGTCAATAGACTTGTGCGCCACCTACTGAAATGTGCGGACATGGCAATGACATATTACGTAATCTGAATTTGATTTCTATGGGATGTAGAATGGATTTACTGGAAATAGTTGCGATCATGTTAAAAATGTTTTCATATGCCTTGTCGTTGGCTCTCCCGTACAGAACGCACGACAAGGAGGACTACCTTTAGCAAAAACGCGACAACACCCACTGACAACAAAATGGCGGCAAGTATAAAATTCGCATCAACGCTGAAATCGAATTCATCCTGTCTCTTGTCGAGGATGGCCGACACCGCCCAGATGACCACGGGGAAGGACATGACGTTGTACCGGAGATAGCGGTCCCACAGGAAGAGATCGAGGAAGGCGTACACGATGATGAGGAGCAGGACGATGACCAGTGCGATGGTGGAACCCGTGTCGATACTCAGGCCGAAGTCGTAGATGAACACCATAGCGATGTTGATGTGCGTGGCCAGCGCGGTCCAGGTACCGAAGATGGCGAGGCCGTTGAGCACCAAGATGCGGTATATCCAGAGGTCGACACGGCTGATGTAGGACAGAAGAAATCAGAATATTAAAATCGATGTTACTGGTTGATAGCAACATTTTAAACTTCGCTTTCAAAAACTTGAAAGGAGATGGCGCTGTTTCAAAGTGATTATTAGTGTCTATAAAGGGACACTAGTGATAATACACCACTACTGAATGCTTTACCTGACACTACCCTGGGGGCGCCTTCCCACCTTCCTATGAATATGAAATTACCAATACTTAGTCGTCACATACATTTGGGTAGTGAAGCGGGCCATCTTATCTACTATATTTTTATTCATTGACCAAAAAATGCTGTATGATTGGTCGAAGGACAAATGTATATCGTTTTTTATTGACTTACATTGGTATTTAATTGTATACAATTTCAGAATAAGTTATTCTATTTTGAATCCAATCCAATTTTATCAACAATTCAAACGTTAAATTCATACGAGATATATGAAATATTATCACCTTGTAAAATGCTTTCTGTTGTGGACGAGACAGCGAGTAAGGAACGCAATGCATGACCACACGGACACTGGGATGATGGCGATCACGATGAGAGACCCCCAGATGATGAGATTCGTCCAGACGAAATACCAGGCGATGATGGCGAGCAGGCTGACCGTGTACCCGACGACGAAATGGACGCTGATGACCGGTGGGTTAAGGTAGACGGGACCGTGCTCGTTCCGTCGACAGAGGTTGACGAGGGCGTAGATGAGCCAGAGCATCTGCCACATAAAGATGAGGATCCAGATGGAGAAGGCCCAGCCGGCGGGGGTGATCTCGGTCGGGTGAATGCCAGAGGCGTTCCCGACAGATGTCGGCAACCAGCCTGCGAGGGAAAGAAAAGAAAGACATTGTTGGGGATCCAAGCGACTATCAGCATAATAAATATTTTCGATATACTCCTAATTCCTATATAGTTTATTTACTTTACACTACTTAATCAACCTAATTTCAACCCGCCCGTTGTTATGCTTCGATATTTAAGTTTAAATCAACCTTGTTTCATTTCATACATAGGTCTGAAGGTTTTTTGATGTTCACGAATTAATCATAATTGGATTGCATTTTTAGTGATTCTATATCCTTTCCTATATTCCTTTAATCGAACTCTCACCGCATCCTCATTTGTTTCCTTCTTATATGATATTCTTTATACTTGAATGGAACTAAAGGCTTAATTATATTGGGCCTATGAAGGCCTCTTCTTTTTTTTCTTCAATCGAGCATCCCTAATCACAATCACAATGTTTCATTCAGGAACAACGCCTCCTTTAATTGTATTTGTGTTCTCTTGTTTGCAATCTTATAGAGGTGAAGGTTGTTTTTAATTTAATCGAATTTAATTCAACCGAACTTAATATACTAACGTATTCAAATTTGCGGATGTTTCTTTCCTGGGAATCTAGTGACGAGTTATTCAATGAACCTGTTGTTAGCTACATTACTTGGAATCCAGTCTGCATAAATTGCTTGTTAATATGTCGAGCAAACCTCGGGCAAGCTTCAGGTTGTCAAGAATAACCTTAGTTTAAAGCTTATCACCACTAGTGTGGCTAGGAGGGATTAGACCACACAGCGAAGTCACTGACAGGTGACTATCTCATCAACTCAGCTCTCAAATAACATAAGAAATAGAGGATCATGGGGGACCAACAGGCACCGATTGTGGAAGTTTTCTATATAGAGGGAGCAAGTAGCTACAAGTAGGACAGTGGGGCTTAAAAAGTATGCATAACATTTGAATATGTTAGTAAAGCGGTCTATTGATTTAAACTGAACTGGATTAAATCATCAAGGCTACAAACTAGCAGTAAGTTCAGAATTCACCTACCCCATCGTTCAGAGGTTGGGATGACTAGAGACCCGCAGTAGATGATGACCATTAATACGGTAAGGCCCATGAGGAGTTTGTCGTGTTCATCTTTCCCTTTGTAGCTCGGTGGGGACCCCTCTTCCAACGCCATGTCATTCTTTTTGGAAGGCATCTTGAATGGAAGTCAGTCTGATGACACACCGGTGCTGGAATACTCTTGCGATGACGAAAACGATGTCGATGATGAAAACGATGTCGATGACGATGTCGACTGCAGACGATGACGAAAATATCAGACGGTGTGATCAAGGTCTGATGGGAAACTGAATCGCAAGGCCAGGGGTGTCTTCTATTGGGTATCACTAGTACAGACAGTTTTCCTGAATATTGCGTAGAGGGTTAAACAGAAATGATAACATTTACTAGAATTGACAACGTTTCTGCTGACATATTTATTAAACCTCACATCCCAAGTTAATGTTTCCATTTTACTTGACTTCTAAGAAACAGTTCCGTGCGTGTAGTTGAATGACGGGGGAACTACGGCTTAAGTCATGTATGAGGACTTGCTAAATATTGAGGATTATCGAAGGACCGTACTGGCGCATGGGTCTCGAACCTAGGATCTTCTGTTGGACAAGCCCACAATCTTACCGACTTCAAGTTTGACTTCTTTCAGACTTAGTTTGTGTAAAATAAGATATAACTTTGGTATAAATCTCACAAAGATATTAATGGACAAAGTGTATAAAGAAAAGTTTTACAAACCGAGGGTAAAGTGTCAATTGTTAGTAGCGTGTGTGACACATCGCATGATGGTTCATCACAATCAAATCAATGCTTCCATAATAAATCATGTAAATAATACAGTTTTCTTTACAACAAGCTGCAGTCTAGGCCCACCGGCTCAAATCGATTGTAATCTGTGAAGGAATAATATAAGCTACATTTTCCTTTATGTGGGCCTCTACATTGAATAATCATAATTGCAAGATACGTGAGCTACACACAGCAGTTCGGTTTGCCTATACCACGCCTATACGGTCAACTTCTCGCATCACACTTATTTGATACACTCATTTTAATGAACCTGGATGA